GGGGGGGGGGGACATGGCGGGAGACCATGAGGAAAGCCAGGCTTCTAGTTGGAGATCGGCCCCTCGGCAGCGGCGCGCTGACCCAGATACAGGATGCCGGCCCAGGCCTCCTCGGCGGTGGGGCGGATCTGCTCCGGCGGCAGGCGGAAGCCATAGCGGCCGGTGTCACGGAGCTCGAAAGTCCAGCCCCACATGCCACCCTGCTCGGTGTACCAGTCGTCAGTGCTGCCAGTGGTGGGGTACAGGCCGGAGGCCGGCATGCTGGTGTACACCGACCCGTGGACGGCCAGGATGGCGGCGGCGATGCCATCGCCAACCGAGGCCAGGACCGCCTCGTTCGGGGCCGGAGTCACCGTGTAGCCGAAGGACCGGAGGATCAGCTGGCCATAGGCATGGATGTCCAGGCCGACACTGCGGTTGGACAGCTGCTCGAGGACGAACTTCTGGACGGCCTGGGTCTCGGGCTCGGAAGCGGCCGACGGACCGCGGTAATCCGTGGCACACGGCCGGGGGGAGGCACCGACACCGCCCCAGTGGTTGTCGAAGTTGCGGTTCAGATCGACACCAACGCAGGGGGTGGCATCGGCAGCCTGGGCATCGGTCGACTTGTCGGCCGGGCGGCGGTTCTTGCGCCACAGGCGGTCACTGAGTGCAAGGTGTCCGCAAGGAGGGGCCGAAGAGGCACAAAGGCCAGGGGTCAGCAGATGTATGAAGAGGGGGAGGGAGGGAGACAGACAAAACAAGAAAGAAAGAAAGAAAAAAAAAGAAAGAGAGGCACGAAGGGCGGCCCGGTAAGGGATGACGCACTGCTCCCAGCTGAAAACATAGCCATCGGGGTTGAGCATCGGGGCAATGACAACCTCAAACTCATTCAGGAAAACGGTGGTGTTGGCATCCTGCGGGCGGGCGGGCAGGCGCGCGCGCGCACACACACATGTCAGAAGAGGTCCCCTCCGGCAGGCACCCTCACAGGCCCGCGTCAAAAAGAGCTAGGCAGAAAGACACCCCAACGTACCGATCCATAGGCGTCCACAATCTGGGCAGCCACGTACTGGGCGGTGGCCGGGGAAACCCACTCGCGGGCATGGATACCGGCACTGATGAAGAAGGTGCGCTTGGGCTGGGGGCCGAAGCGCGGGCGCAGGCGGATGACCGGCAGGTCGCGGCCCTCGTGCGACTGGCCGATGCTCGGGATCCAAGTGGCCTCGACCTGGTGCGAGGGGATGGACTCGGTGTGGTTGACCAGGCCCATGTAGAAGTCCAGGATCTCCGGCAGGGGATGGTACGTGTCGTGGTGGTCCGACAGCTGGGGGTTGGCCACAAAGTGGCCGGGGTGGCTGCGGCGGGAGCGCCAGCGCGGGGGGGACTCGGTCTCCCACAGGAGATCGGCCACATCCTCCACATGGACAAAGCACCCGGGGAGGGAGGACTGGCGGGGGAGGGGGAGGCGCAAATCGCGATGTCAGCATCGGGCGAGAGAGACAGTCGGCACGGGGCGCGACATAAGAAAAAAAAACCGACCGTGGGCCGTGCAATCCCCGGCAGCCGGGGGCCGAGGGGAGCCTCGCACCAGAGTCGTGGTCAGCAGACCAGAGGAAACAACTTCAACATGCTCGGTGGTCTGACCCCAGAACTCCGGCTCCTGGCCATGAGTCACAAAAGCGTTGTTCAGGGGGTGGAGCTGCTCCAGCGGACAGCGGACGATTTGCTTGCCACGGTGAAGCTCGATCGGCGCGGCACCGAACTCGCTGCTGGGGATCGGCGAGCCGGCAACCAGGCCGAGAGCCGAGAGGGCCAACAGGCCAAGCGGGACCAGCATAGTACGAGGTCCTTGAGGAAGGGGAGGGGGAGAGATCTGCAAAGGCGGGGGGACAACGAAGCGGGTCTCACCAGTGAGAGGGGAGGAGGGAAGGAGGGAGGGGGGGGGGCCACCGACTGAGGATCCCGGACCGACCGGGCGGAAGCTTTTCTATGCCCCCGTGCGGCGACGGGCGGGCGCGAGGTGCGGGGCACCGTGGGGCGGCTTGGGAGAGAGCGCGGGACAGGGAGAAGAAGGTGAGCGGGAGAGCGCAGGCCCGCGCTGGGTCTTGCGCCCTGGGTGAGACTAAACCAATCACAACATTGCACCCACCGGCCCCCGGACTGACACCTCGACTCCGGGGCATGATGCTTCTCGCATAAGCAGCGCAGGGACAGGGGGGGGGGGGGGGGCTCCTCCTCCGCCCATGGGGCCGGGAATGAGGGCAGGACCCCGGCTGGGCTCGTCCTCTGTCCCACAGGGCAAGTTATCGTGTCGCCATTCCCCGCGGGCCTTTTCTCCGGCGCGGCCCGCCTGGAAATGCCACCCCCAGCTTGCCGGGCCGCGGGATTTCGGTCAACAAAAATAATAAAGCACTGCCCGCCAGACCCGCCGGCAGTGACCGCGCGACCTCATGGCGTGCGTGTTCACGCGCTTCTACCCTGGTCTGGGGCACCGCGGAGAATTGGACGCCATCCGGCAGACTGCGGCGGGGGGGGGGGGGGGGGGGCGGGGGGGGGGGGAGCACAAAAAAAAAAGCCCCCAGCCCCCCACCGGGGGCGAAAAAACCCCCCGCTCTGGGGGGGGGGCGCCTGGGCAATGAAGAAAAAACACCCCAAACGCCGCCCCGGGAGGAGGGGGCCCCCCGGGGGGGGTGCCCCCCCCCCCCCCCCCCGGAGGGCCCCCCCCGCCCCCCCCCCCCCCCCCCCCGGGCGCGCTCCACGCGAAAAAGGCGTATCGGGGCCGGACAGTTCTCTGGGAAAGTTCGACGGCTTATCTGGATTTCCACCCGGCAGTCGGAGATGATAGTGAAAATCGCCCGTGACTTTCGAGGATCACGCCGGGCTGATCTCAGACCGCGCATTATTTCTCTTCGCCCATTTTTTAAATGCCCGTATTATCTGCCTTTCTCGGCGCGGCCTCGCCCCTCCATCGCCAACTGCCTGGCCAATGAGCCTGCGGGGTCTGGCTCCCCCCTATCAAACGAGGGGACCTGGGAAGGAAGGGCAAAGGGGGGGGGGGCTTTCTTCCTTGCCCCGTCTCCGCGCTACTGCGTCTGGACACCTCTTGTAGCCGGGAAAAGGAAAATAAAACCCCTGCGCCCACACACGGCTGTTGTGGTGACCCCCGCACCGCCGATTTGCTCCTTTGATGGTGGGCCGCCCCCGGCCGGCCCCGAGGGCGGTGCCCCTGCTCTCCTGTCGCCCCTGCCGCGCCGCACGAGCGAAAGGGCGATATGATGTCCTTTTGCATGTGTGTTTGTTCATTTTTGAGTCAGAGATCCCTCATTCAACACCGTACAAGAAAGCATACAGGGAGGGGGAGAGGGAGGGCCGCTGCACCGCCGGGTCGAAGGTGAGGAAGGCCGGGAGGCTCCCGAAGGAGCGGGTGGGAGAAAAAAAAAGCAAGATGAAGAGTCGATCTTACTGCTGCTCGACATAGTTGGAGGGGATCAGACCGCGGATCATGGTACGCTCGACGGTGGCGCGCATCCAGCCGTCGGCAAGCTGCTCGGCATCGGAAACGATATCGCCCTCCATGATGCTAGTCTCGAACTCATCCTGGGCCTCGTAGTCGTACAGGGCGCGGAACTTACCGCCCAGCTTGACGGGCTCAGAGGTAGGAGCAACATCGTCCTCAGCAGCGGCCTCCTCGACGGTGGCCTCGGCGACAACCTCAGCAGCCTCCTCAACGGCAGGCTCAGCGGCCTCCTCGACGGTCTCCTCAGCGACCTCCTCGACGGTCTCCTCAGCGACCTCCTCGGCGACCTCCTCGGCGGTCTCCTCGGCGACCTCCTCGACG